ACATACACTTTAAATCAAAAGGCATATTAGCTTTTCTTCATATATCTTTCAAAGTATAACACTTCTTAAAAACATATTATGAAAGCAAGCACAATGAGATTACTGTTTTCTATAAAATTATTAGTGCTGGTAATTACTAGGTAAATGTAAACACCAAGTCAGCCCGATTTTGATTTACTCAACTAAGATTCATCATAGGTGACTGTGGGCTGTTTCACATTGCACTATGCTCTTTCCAGTCTTTGATGTTGTCCTGAGGGTGGAAAATATCTGAGGTTTAGTTCTTTTGTGGGAAAAATCATATACAAATATATGACCGACACAAAGTTTCCAAATAAGGTTTCCACAGACATTAGATTCACTTTGTCTGATAGAAAGGATTGTAGCAATCTTTACAATGTTTGAACACTGACCAATACTATGGCACCCTTAAATCACAATTTTCACAAAATAAGTTCACTTTCAGCAGTTTTTTTTATTAAATTACAATTATATTCTATTAGCCATTATATTCTATAATGTTTCTAACGATAGCCATTTCACTGTCTGGCCCTGTGTTCATTTAACCTCAGGTGGCCAGATCAATTTTGCAATATTTCATTTTTTTTTTTTAAATTGTGCCTTTTTGCAAAACTTTAAATAAGCAGTTTATGCTATAATCTGGAGGTTGGCTTCACACCTATGCCTTGTTCTAATGCTGATCTGCATTGGCGTGTGTACACTGCGTTGGTGTGTGGTGCGATAAAAATGATTCAGGTATACTTTTTGTCACAACACCATGTGCAAATGCATTGCTGCACGTAGCGTCAAATGAATGCAATTAAAACAGAAAGTTTAAAAAAAGAAAAAAAATTAAGCACTGATATGTGTTAGAACAATGCATTGCAGTACATGTGCACAACACATTTTATTTTATATATTAATACTGAGAGGTTTAGTGAAATATCAGGGACCTGAACATAAAGGCCATGTGATAGACCCACCGGGACAGTGGCTTTTGGAAGGGACTGCAGGCTAGCCTCTGTCAGAGGAAAAAACGAGGAAGCCCGGGCAAATGCGCCAATTTGTGCAAAGAAGTGCGCATGCGCATAGGCGGCCGACACATAATAAAGCATTCCTGTGCACAAAAACACACCAACACACGCAGGGTGCACTAATTGCTGACACTCAGTGGCCTTTATAAGGACTGCAGCTCTGCTCAGTGATTGCTGGATTATCGTCAGCCCCTCCCGTTCCTGTGTACCTGAGTTTTTCCTGCCACCGACCTGGCTTGATCCTGACCTTGTTCCTGTCTGTTGTTCTGTGTATGATCCCAACTTGCACCTGACCTTGTTCCTGTCTGCTACTCTGTGTATGATCTCGGCTTGCTCCTGACCTTGTTCCTGTCTGCTACTCTGTGTATGACCCCGGCTTGATCCTGACGTTGCTCTTGTCTGCTGTTCCATATTGATCCTGGCTTTGGCTACTGACTACACTACCCGTCCTCCGGGATCCACATGTTCTCTGGAGAAACTCCTCCTGCAACTGGAGCACCCACGGGTTCCATCTCATCAGACATTTCCAAGCAGCAACACCACTGCAACCCGGGCTTCTTTGGGCTCTGCACCTCCTGTTTCCACCTCCAGGGGTGCACTGCACTGAGCCGTAAGGGGAGTCCTCTCTCTATTGCAGCCTCCGTTCAGGTACGTGACACTCTTGCCTACTGACCATGGGCTCTGGCATCTGAAGGGGCTCTATTCTTTGGGAGGTGTGTGTGCCAGGGGGGATTTTTTTACTTTGGATTTAAGTCTGTGTCCCCAAAACACACAGACTCTGAAAACTGGAGGACCAGGATACAGATTTGTTGTCTCTGTGCCCAAACCAGCATTGACAGCTTCAACCCCCACCTCCTAGGCACAGAGACTCTAAGCAGATGTTTTTATAATCAGCTCAAAACAACCTTATACTGAGGTATCTTGCTGTAATATATTTAGCAAGGTGTGATGTGTTTACCGTTGTGTATTTCTCCCATTGTTAACTGAGTTAATTGAGTCACCTGTTGTTTCTGTCTGTTGGCTAGTCCTCCTGGTGGTTCCTACATGATGTGATTAGTCTGGTGTCAGCTTTACCTCGTTATCTAATCAGTGTGGGATATTTAACCCAATGTGTAATATTTGTTTATATTATTCAGGTGCCCCTATTTCTGAATTGTATTAAAACCTGTATTTCTGTTCAATAAAGAGTACCAGTTGCACCTAAGCTAGTGTTGCCTAGTCCTTGGGTGCAATGCCCAGCTATAATACCAAGGTCCTGTGTCCCAGCACCGAGGAAGCAGTTCTCTAATGGAGGAACTCAAGTGGGGTGCCAGTCTGTCACAGGCCAGATTTTGGTAATTACATCACCACTATCCCCAGCCCATTTTATTTCTTTTAGCTTTCAGCCAACACCTGAATGGAGCCGGGAGAGAGTACTGTGTAGTTTGGCATTCATGACAGCTTCCCAGAACATGCACAGAACTAGTCTTAATTACTGGTAGTTTTGTAATCCTTGAACTAGTGGTAATTCTTTAAAAGGATAAGTTCACCTTTTAAAATAAAATAATAAATGCACATTTTTTTGCAGGTAACAAAATGTGCATTTATTACTTTTTGTTTCTGGAGCCTCTAAAGCAGGGGTCCTCAAACTATGGCCCGCAGGCCGCATACAGCCCGCCAAAGACTCTTTTCTGCCTGCCAGGCCAGCCGAAAGGGAAAAAAACAAAAGAGAACACGGTGCTGGCCGGCAAATAGCTACGTGTTAAGAGTACAGTGCGTTATAGTGTACAGTGCCTCGTGGTGTCCAGTGAGCTACAGAGTACAGTGCCTTGCGGCGTCCAGTGAGCTACAGAGTACAGTGCCTTGCGGCGTCCAGTGAGCTACAGAGTACAATGCCTCGCGGTGTCCAGTGAGCTACAGAGTACAGTGCCTCGTGGTGTCCAGTGAGCTACAGAGTACAGTGCCTCGCGGTGTCCAGTGAGCTACAGAGTACAGTGCCTCGCGTGTCCAGTGAGCTACAGAGTACAGTGCCTCACAGTGTCCAGTGAGCTACAGAGTACAGTGCCTCGCAGTGTCCAGTGAGCTACAGAGTACAGTGCCTCGCAGTGTCCAGTGAGCTACAGAGTACAGTGCCTCGCAGTGTCCAGTGAGCTACAGAGTACAGTGCCTCGCAGTGTCCAATGAGCTACAGAGTACAGTGCCTCGCAGTGTCCAGTGAGCTACAGAGTACAGTGCCTCGCAGTGTCCAGTGAGCTACAGAGTACAGTGCCTCGCAGTGTCCAGTGAGCTACAGAGTACAGTGCCTCGCAGTGTCCAATGAGCTACAGAGTACAGTGCCTCGCAGTGTCCAGTGAGCTACAGTGTACAGTGCATTGTGGTGTCCAGTGCGTTACAGTGTACAGTGCATTTTAAATATTGTATTGTTTTGTCCTGTTTTTTGCACTATACATACATGTGGTGTGCATAGGAATTTGTTCATATTTTTTTCAAACTATAGTCTGACCCCCCCAACAGTGTGAAGATCCATGAACTGGTCCCCTGTTTAAAAAGTTTGAGGACCCCTGCTCTAAAGCATTGCAAGTCTCCCCCTGACCTGTCAGTATATCTGCTTACTTGTAAATCCTGTATAGGCAAGCAGATACTTACCGACAGGAAGGCTCAGTGAACTAAAAACTACAAGTTGACAGTCGCAAAGGCTATCAGAACTTGTAGTTTTCCCATTCACAAAATACTGTGAATGAGTGACACGGTCTGGCGGGAGGAGAAGGTTGTTGTCACAACGGGGATAGGGGGCTGTGGGGGCCGGTCCGATTGTAACATGTTACATGTTACTAAAGGTGAACCTATTCTTTAAGGATATGTTGCAGCCGTACCAACAGGTTCTTAAAGTGGCAGTAGTTAGAACTACCTGAATTTGTTGCCAGTTCACTAATGTTACCAAAACTGGCGCAAGTGCTTGCCTTAATTAGACATAGATAGTTCTAAAGAAAACTACCACTAGAAAAGTGTCCCCACTGAATTTCCCTGGTCCCATGCTGCTTAGTCTTTGATAAAAATGTGATACTAGGGTAGAGATTTTTGAACAATTGAGGCATTTTTGTACTACTGTGATATAACTTTCTGTTGCATGTAGTGGGAACACTCATATTCAAGTGACTATGATAGAAAGGCACTGCTGACAGGAAGGATTTTTCTTTTCATCTCTATAAAGATTTAATTAATCAACCAGGTTCTACGCATTATTACCTCATATAGAGTAATGTGAAATTCATCAATCAGACAAAAAAAAAATTATCCGAAGTCCTAAACTTCACTTGTCAAGATCAAATTGTCTCCTGTCTAGGTCCATATGAGGGCAAACAGTACTCTGAAAAGCACTGCAATTGGTAATATACTCAAGATTCATATTTGTCCTAAGATAATGTATGATAGAATGAATTTTTAAAAAATGCTATAATGCTAAAATTAGTTGTGTTCCTTATGATGGCCATGCATGGTGCAATAAAACTAAACGATCAATGTCGGATTCACCAAAAAAATATTGAATTGGACATCGAGAGAGCAAGGCAAAAATGGTACGGCTTGGAGATGAGCGACAGATAGTGATGGAACCAAGTAGATGGTTGTGGCAGAAAAACATAATTTTTTCACATGCTAAGTGGTTCACCACTGTGCTTACACCTGATCTACTTGACACAATTGATTTAGGTACAGCATTGAAAAGCATGGTACACGTGTATGAAATATCAATCAAATTATGTTTATTGTGCTGACTTTTAGCTTGATGTATGCAATCAATTGGATTAGATCAATCACTATTAGCCAAACACAGTACAATGATGGTAAGGTCATTAAAATTTGTTACGTTAAGAAATACATTTATGACCATAATACATTGGCAAAGTGGAAGTTAGTATTCCCAGAACATTAAAAAAGGATGATAACTTCTTAAGTAGATCCTGACACATTAGAAATTGGTGTGGTATCTTATGATTGGACTTCCTCCAATTGCAGCCAAAGCCCACCTTCAGCTCGCAGGATCAGCTCAGGCTTCCGGCGCACTGTCTTGGTTTGATCCAAGTTCACTTTGAAATTTAAAAGTGTGAGAGCCAGAACTACTTTCATCTCAACCATGGCAAAGTTTTGTCCTATACAGTTCCTATGGAATAAAGAATCAATAAGTATTATGCCCATTAAAATAAGCAAAATGTCTGTTCCTGTAGCTGTATTTGAAGTTCAAAATAGGGCCAATGTTCATTACATGTTCAACACATTTTATAATAACATTATTAATCTGGCTCTCCTTGACACATTTAAAGGATGAGTTCAACTTTAAAAAAAAAATAAATGCACATCTTTTTGCAGGTAGAAAAAAAAGTGCATTTATTAATACTTTTCTTTGGAGCCTGTAAAGCATTGCACCCAGGATCAACAGATCGTGGGTGCAATGCAAGGCTCCTGCAGACTGTCATATAAACTGTCTGCCCATACCTTGTACGGGCAGGCAGTTACTGAATGACAGGAAGAATCAATGAACTACCAAGAGAGCTCTTCAGCGCCCTGGTAGTTCATTGAAAACTACAAGCCTACTGGTGGTAGTTATAGTTCTCCCATTCACAGAACTCTGAATGAATGATGCAGCTGGGTTTCATGGAGCCCCACACCAATGCGTTTTTTTTAAAGGAGCAACAGCGAATGCGGGGAGAAGATCCAGTTCACTGTCACAATGGTGGCTCTGGAGACTGGGGGTGCTTGTTTTGTAACATTTTATACCCTGGATACGGGTATAACATGTTATGAAATGTGAACGTAGCCTTTGAAGATAGTTTGCCAGTTAAGAAAAATTAACAAATTACATATTTTGTAGGCACAACATACCTTCAGCTCATCATCATGCCCCCTTAAGGTCTCCTGTAGTCTAGGCTTTTCCTTTCTTGAAAACGTCACCAGACTTCAATGTTCTAGGACCCCTCCTGCACTTTACAATTGGCTTATTGCTAATATGGTCAGATTTGTTGGTCAATAGGAAAATTTAGGATGAAGGAGGCCCCAAAGCGTGGCCCAGGCCAGGTTTACAGTATTTTTTTTAGAGATATTTGGGAAACCTAACATAACAAAAATACGTAGATCAACAATGAACTTCTTCTGAAAATGCTTGTTGTCCACTAGTCATTCTAATTCTCTGACTTTATTATTCTCTAAGTCACTACCTGCAGCTAGTGAAAGCTTGCAGGACTTTTCGGTCAGTGGACTCAACATGCAAGTGTACAGGCAAAATGTGTACTCCACCACAAATAAAATAACCATAAATTCAGATTTCAAAGTAATCTCAGAGGTCAATTCGCATTATGGTAAGTCAGTCCAATAAAGGGATCACCTGCATCTGCAGCAGCTGTGCTTTTACTTTTTATAAAGCATAATAGAGGAATACAGAAATCTCCATTGGATTGACTTACCAAAACATGAATTGACCTCTGTGAATGGTGAAGTCTGAATTTCTGCTTACTTACAGTGGAGGGAACTGTTTATTCAGCACACTTGGGTGTTGAGCCCACTGACAGTAAACAGCGACAAGTTTTTTATTGAAGATCTCATTCTGGATGTGTATATTAATCTGTGATTGCAAGCAGTTGTTATCTTGAAGTCATGCCAATAATTTAAAGAGTATAAACACCATAAGAGTGTCATAATAGGCAGACAAATATTAATTTCAAAAGGAGGTCACTAATGGCAGCCCTTTACTTCTCTCATCACAGGTTTCCTTTAAAATGTCAAGGAGAATAGTTTAAAAACAATTAGCTACATATGCCAAATTCTAGTGGCATAGATAACTTGCAGAGTTATGGACCAATTTGAACAGTAATGTATGGGGCATTTTGAAACTCTATAAAGTGCCTCTGATTGCATTGAAAACTTACATCTGAAAGTACTTACTGTATTTGCATTCTTATTTTATAGATTAAACAAAGATCTCCTCTACATAATATCTTACAACATCAGTGACAGTGTATATTGGACAACTACTGAAAATATACTGAACAGTGATTATAATTACAAATCAAGCTCATATTCACCTAGGTCCAGCAGAGAAGGGTACAAAAGCATGTGAAGACCTCTCCTGTGCTTTTTCTGGATCAAAACGATATGGATCATAGACCTAAGGAAGCAAAGGTTAGAAGTAAGACTTTGTGCAAGTGTTTGTTTGTTATTTTGGCTCTGGACATAATAAGATTTGTACCTCAGGGTTTGGCCATACAGCAGGATTGTGATGGGTTCCATATATACTTATGAGACAGATATTTCCTGAAAGAACATAAAAAAAAAAAAAAAACACTTTCAAATTTTAGCTTGCAATGGAAATATTGTTGCCCATAAGATCATGTGTAGAGTGGCAAAGTAGCATACATTCAGGTGTGTTCAGCCTGCTTTTGAGATCAGTTTGAGATGCTTCTGAGATCCCTCAAGGGTGTGTGACCTCCTAACCCACATCAAGATGCTTTTGGATTCATAGTGACTTGTATGGAAAGAAAAGTAAACAAATGGCTGTGTACACAAGCCCTTACACACTTGCCATGAGGGTTTTATACATAGCAAAAGCAGCATAAAAACTGTGTTCATAACCTCTGTCAATAAAAATGGGTTTATTATCCCTACTAAGGAGAGATGGAGATTACAGTACTACCATATACAGTACCACATGTAAGTCTACATTAACAGTTCTTCCTAGGTATGCCAGTATACACTATATTGCCATTTTTTTGAGCGGGTACATAGTGCAGGGGAGGTTCAGGTGTGTAAATACAGAGTTTGGGGGTCAGGTGTATGTAATGTACATACATTTGGAGTCAGGAGCATATACATTATATTGCCAAAAGTATTGGGACGCCTGCCTTTACACGCACATGAACTTTAATGGCATCCCAGTCTTAGTCTGTAGAGTTCAATATTGGGTTGGCCCACCCTTTGCAGCTATAACAGCTTCAACTCTTCTGGGAAGGCTGTCCACAAGGTTTAGGAGTGTCTATGGGAATGTTTGACCTTTCTCCCAGAAACCCATTTGTGAGATCAGGCACTGATGTCGAACAAGAAGGCCTGGCTCACAGTCTCCTCACTAATTCATCCCAATGGTGTTCTACTGGGTTGAGGTCAGGACTCTGTACAGGCCAGTCAAGTTCCTCCACCCCAAAACGCACTCATCCATGTCTGTATGGACTTTGCTTTGTCCACTGGTGCACAGTCATGTTGGAACAGGAAGGGGCCTTCCCCAAACTATTCCCACAAAGTTGGGAGCATGAAATTGTCAAAAATGTTTTGGTATGCTGACGCCTTAAGAGTTCCCTTCACTGGAACTAAGGGGCCAAGCCCAACCCCTGAAAAACAACCCCACACCATAATCCACCCTCCACCAAACTATACACTTGGAACAATGCAGTCAGGCAAGTCCTGTTCTCCTGGCAACAAACCCAGACACGTCCATTGGATCGGCAGACAGAGAAGTGTGATTTGTCACTCCAGAGAACATGTCTCCACTGCTCTAGAGTCCATGCTTTACACCACTGCATCTGATGCTTTGCATTGCATTGATGTAAGGCTTGGATGCATCTGCTAGACCATGAAAACGCATTCCTTGAAGCTCTCTACGCACTGTTGTTGTGCTAATCTGAAGGGCTAATGAAGTTTGGAGGTCTTTAGCTATTGACTCTACAGACAGTTGCCAATTTCTGTGCACTGTGCCCTTCAGCATGCGCTGACCCAGCTCTATCATTTTACATGCCCTACCACTTTGTGGCTGAGTTGCTGTTGTCCCCAGTTGCTTACACTCTGTTATAATAGCACTAACAGTTCACCATGGAATGTTTAGTGGCAAGGAAATTTCATGGGTGGACTTTTTGCACAGGTGGCAACCTATCACGGTACAACGTTTGAATTCACTGAGCTTCCATTCTTTCACAAATATTTGTAGAAGCAGTGGCCGTGGAGATGATTGGAACCTAAATCCAATGATTTGGAGGGGTGTCCCAATACGTTTGGCAATATAGTGTATGTTTATATAAATGTTTAAGCAGATTCATTCTATTCATTCAGAGTCATTCATCTCCAAGCCGAAGTAAGGTCTAAGCAGCATAATTACGTAGAAGAACTCAAACACATAAAAGACAAAGCAGAACCTTTTGGAATGACTCTCCCATCCGGAAGAGCAATGTCTTCAGTACACTGTCTGGACACTGCTGTTACAGGAGGATGTAGTCTAAGGCTTTCCTTGATACACATGGTGGTAAATGGCAGCTGAGACAGGTCATCCCTAAGAAAAAAAAAAATGAACTAGTACATTGAAAATGTCATGAATATTTAAATAGTTTAGACAGTGGAGAAGTCTAAAACATTTTGAAGCACACCCTTTTATATATATATATATATATATATATATATATATATATATAAATAAAACGTACATCAAAAGGTTTAAATATTTTTTTAAAGGATAAGTTCACCTGTAGGAGCATATTTAGGGTGTAACATGCTCCTATGCACCTGCCTCCCACCACCAGCGTTCTCCACTCTGTGACAGTGGCCAGGGGAACCTCTCCCCGCACCTGCTGTCACTTTGAACAGTGCGTGCAGGGAGAGGATCCCCTGTCCACTCAGCTCTGCTCACACAGCCACATCATTCATTCACATATTCCAGGGAATAAAAAAAAAAACTACAAAAAGTACCATCTGCCACCGCAGCAGATGTACTTACAGCTTGAAAGGACTGTAAGCATGTGAATGAGCACAGGCAAAAAGCAAGAGGAAGGCTGTGCCTGGCATTGTACCACCGGTCTCCTGATCATGGGTGCAATGCTTTGCAGGCTCCAGTAAAAAAAAAAAAAAAAAAAAAATGCAGATTTTTTTTACCTGCAAATTTATGTACATTCATTATTTTTTGACAGGTAAACGTATTTTTTTTTGTTTAAAAACTTTTTTTATGAAGAGATAGACTACAAAAAACGCACAGTTACGTGAGGTAGAATATACAAGAAAAAGGCACATATGTAATGAACAGTAATATAACACATGATCATAAAAAAATAAAGATAAAGTACATGAAGGAGGTAGGCAGCAAGATAGACAGAACAACCACATAACCAACAAAGGTTCAATACAAATCAACCCATGATAGACCATCAATTGAACAGGATGTGTCTGTGTTTTCCAACTGTCCCATTTTCTTTTGAATAAATGCATCCTAGCAATGTGTATTGAATACATTCCATGAGCATGACCATATTGAATCTCCGCAAAACAGAGACCAAAGGGACCATTGGTGACTTCCAATGAAGGGCAATGGCCTATAGGGTAGAAACGCAGATAGTGTGAATTAGCCTCATTAGGTTGGCTGGGATCCCCGAAATGGATGCACCCAATAAGCAAATTTGCAGGGAAAAATCTACCGGAGAACTCGCCAAGACAGAGGCCACCTCCGAAATCCTACGCCAGATCAAGGAAGGTTGAGGCAATAGTGAGACGTTGGCCAAAAGCATCTCATCAGGAAACCTTCCCCCCTGCAAAACTTCATTGAACATAGACACCAAAGATGGGGCCAAGAGAGGGGCAAAATGCTTGTAATAACTGTCCGAGATGTTCTAAACGCTTTTGCGATATCATGCCCCTATTCAAAAGGGATGGGTTACCTACATGAGTTCTATAATGCATTTCCAGTTCCCTAGTGAGCTTCTGAATTTGTTTCCAGCGATCCCTATTCCTGGCTGCCGCCACAGAGAACCACCTTTTGGGCCACCAACAGCATAGCCGGGGAGGTATCAGGATTGTTCAGTTGAAATACTCTTGGATTGAGGTAGCTACTTCTTGACAGGAGATAACATCTGTAAGCATAGACTCATTCAACCGCCAGGAGTAGGGGAGTAGATGCTAGGCCTATAAAAGGTAACAGACAATGCTACAATATTATGATCCGACCAAGAATACAAGCGTATCCATGCCTACGGTCACACGTAAAGGCCTTAGCATCCTGGTCTGGAAGAAGGGACTTGAACAACTTAGTCATGGCTTGTGAAAGATCAGGCACTGTCTCATGGACCCCACGGATTCGCAGGATTATTTCTGCGATTAGGGTTATCAAGGTCTTCCACCTGTACCTGTAACTGTGTAAAGGCAGCTGTAAAAGGTTGTGATCCCTAGAGAGCTTGCCATAGGCCAAACTGAGTTCATCATGTTTTGTTTCTAAACGATCCGTTCTGGCCCCAAATGCAGCTATTTCCTGAGAAATGACATTAGTGCTTTTATGGAGCTCTGATTGAAATTTAGTGGTCAATTTCATGTACATAGTCTGGAGACAAGATTCCAAGTCCCCTTTGTAAGCTGCTGTGTATGCTCACTCTCCCGTGCAGAGGGCTGGGCTGCTGTATCCTGTGAGAAACAGGATGGGGATGCTCCGCCAGCACCGTCTTGTGACATGCTGCAGAGCTCCTGTGTCCTCAATAGGTACATTGTAAGGGACTTCTAAGTGGTCCTCCTACTCTTTTTCAGTTGACGGCATGCAGGACTGTCTCCTGGAGGTGATCAGCTGCTTTTTATAAAAAATCCACGAGTTAGACAGGCCCCAGGGAGCAGGCAAAACCCGAAGCAAGGACGGAGCTCCTGCTACATGCAGTTGTCCTCCGTGGCACCGTGCATGTGCCCCCCAGGTAAACGTATTCTTTAATGACCTGGAAAAGCTACTTAGACTTAAAGTATAACTAAAAGGCAACACTTTTTTTTTTTTTTAGCTGTGGAGAGAATGGAGAGGGACTAGAACACCTGTCTGTTTTTATTGCTGTCTGTGTCCCTATTGGGGAAATTTGCCCTCTATTTTTCCTGTTTACCGTCATCATTGAAAGTGAAGGAAAATCCTAATTTTTGAGTTGTCCCCAGTAACAGAGGGGTAATCTTTTAATGGGAGCACCAGTTCTGGTGACCATGGTGACAACACTTCCTGTTTTGGCTAAGGGGCAAGAAAAGAAGGGGACAATGGGACACAGATACCAAAAAATCCTTACAGGGCAAACAACTCTCCCATACTCTATCCAAAATTTTAAAAAAAATTTACGTTAGTTCCACTTTAGGCTGGGCATACATGCACTGCATTTTGTGTTTCTTGCTGACTTGGCCAAAGTTTGATTTGTGATTGGCCCATGCTGGCATCAACTGGCTCAACAAATTTCAATCTGAAAACTGAAAGAGTCTAGTAGAAAATTGTTGGCAGAACACTGATGGCAGCCACTCCGATGTCACTGTTTGGGTATTCTGACAATTCTGTCACTAGATCTTGGGGGAATTTGTCCATCTATGTTTGGCGTGGATGGTAGAATCTTTTACATGAAAGAAATCTATGACCGGCTTTGTGTAACTATATCTGTTCCAAATTCAGCACAGACTTGTTAAGGGCCCTGCGGCTAAGCTATTACCTCTAAAGTAAAAAGAACAACATCTACAATTCCCAGGATTCTCCCTGTAGTTACTGGAAGAAAGACACTCGATTTGCATTTTATAACTATTCATATCCTGCCAAAATCAGTGAGTTGTTACTTTATATAACGCTCTAATTAGTATGTGGCTCTGTTCTGTATAAGCTGACGAGAAGGAAGAAAGTGAAGGGGAGAGGGAAAGACAGAAAGAGGGATATACAGAAAGATAGGAATATGGCAGCAGAAAGAGGGCCACTGAGGCCCTGATGATCAGTGTAGAGTCAGGAATGCCGATTGCCAGCTCTCCTCTCCCTCACAAGCTGTCAGTGTTCAGCCACCAGGAGTGTGGTGGTAGAGCATACTTGATGACTTACATAAGGCTATTTATCTTCTCTCCTGGTGGCTGAATGCTGGCAAGGGAGGCATTAAAGTCAACAAGTTGATTTGCTATTCATGGGCAATAACCAGTTTAATTTCAAAGCTCCTCCAGATTGGAACAAAGTATTGCTGACCAAATTAGAATTACAATCAAACTATCTTACAATACTCTTCCGCAACAAAAACATTTTGAATTTTGTCCCAGTGTTACCACTCCAACACTCGGTCATCTAAAAAAAAATGCACTTCACACTTCAGGAGTGTTTATCTACAGTATTTATGTGTAGCTGTGTGTGTTTTAATTTGTAAAAACGAATTAAAAGTATGGGGTACAGAAAAAAAAGGATTATATTAGGTGGATGCTGCATCTGTTCCTTGCCAATTTTAAGACTGAGAACTGAGCAACCAAAGACTGCAGATCCCTCAGTTCTCAGCCTTCAGTGAGCAGAGAGCCGGTGACTCTCAGTCACTGTCTCGCTGCTCTGCCCCTCCAGCGCTTCCTGGGGTGCTGGGCTGTGGAGGGGGCTCTACGCCAAACCTATTTTGGCTGTACTTCTTCTGGGGATCCTATTGGTGCAGTCCATTCTACACTTCTCTGACCCATTGGCTGATGTCACAGAGCTAGTCATGGTTCTGAAAAGATCCCGACTATATGGTTGGGATCCACCCAGATGCCTGGACTGTTACCTGGCTCAGCCTCTCAGTGAGCCGCTGAGAACCTGAGCCAGCTGCTCCTGTCCCCTCCACAGTCCTCCAAAGTATTGCTGAGCAAATTAGAATTACAATCAAACTATCTTACAATACTCTTCCGCAACGAAAACATTTTGAATCTTGTCCCAGTGTTACCACTCCAACACTCGGTCATCTAAAAAAAATGCACTTTACACTTCAGGAGTGTTTATGGGGATTGTTAGTAAACAAAACAGTTCTCCTCCCCGTTGGAGATCCTTGGAAATAACTGGGCGCTAGCGAGTAATCACATGGAGGAGAACTGTTTTGTTTACTAACAATTCTCCTCCCTGTCAGCTTGGATACACTGCTTTGGATGGCTGTGCACAGTGCTTTTTTTTAGCACTGATTACTGTATTGGTGTCACTGGGGATGTCAGTGACACCAAGTCAGTTCCCCCCCATGTCAGGATGTCCGCCGCAGTCCCGCTATAAGTCGCTGACCAATTCCATTACTAGTAAAAAAAATAAATCCCAGTATACATACAGCCATTTGTAAACACTAACTTTCATGTAAACCAATGAATTTACATGTATTTGGATTTTTTTTTTTTAGCAAAGACATGTAGCAGAATACATTTATGACAAAATTTTATTTTTTAAACTTTTTCATTGGACATGTTTAATAGAAAAAAGTCAAAAATATTGTTTTTTTCTCAAAATTGTCTGTCTTTTTTTTTTTTTTTTTTAATAGTGCAAAAAACAAAAATCAGTAGCATATAGTGGACATGGCAGGTAACTAAAATTCT